CTTGTAACCAAAAATGGGACTTTTCCTATCTATTTCATGGAGCAATATCATGGAGTTTAACTATGTAACTATGGAGTAACTATGGATTTTAAACATGACCTTTCTATGTATCTTTTCATGACAAGAGGTGTATCAATTCCAGAAGAAATATTAAGTAGCAATCAGAAAAATTCGGATTGTGAGTAGAAAGGACTGAAATACCAACTGACTTTTCTCTCTTATTTTTTTCAATTAAACCGAAAAGAGAACTACATTTTGAAAATCAATTTTACTAAAGCAATATTAAATCTTTCCCCAACCTTTCTGCTGCCTTTGGTAAATGATCAAACATTTTTAATAGAGTACTTTTAATTGAGTTTCCAAATTTTAAAAGAGTTGGCAGCATTGTGTTTTGTTTAGTTGAGCTTGAAACTACATTGCTAAATCATTTTCTATTATGAAAGAGTCCGTAGGACAATATGGCAGAAGTGAAATTGCACTGTTGCTGGCTGGGGAATTCTGGGAGTTGAAGTCCTCCAGGCTTAAAGTTGCCAAGGTTGGAGACCCCTGGTTGAGAATAATCTCATCCCTTACGGATATTCTTGCCTTCAGTTCCCCTAATTTCTAGACTCATGAGCACCCAGATGGGGGGTGACTGACTTATAGGTAGTCCTTGACTTATGACCACAACATTTCTGTTGCTAAGCTTGTTAAGTGGGTTATGCCCCATTTTACAACCTTCCTCAACACAGTCGTTAACTGAATCGCTGCAGTTCTTAAGTTCGTCACACGGTGGTTCGGTGAATCAGGCTTCCACATTGACTTGTCAGGAAGTTGCAAAAGGAGATCATATGATCCCAGGACACTGCAATCATGTCATAAATACAAGCCAGTTGCCAAGCGCCTGAAATTTGATCACGCAACCATGGGGCAATGGTTGTAAGTGTGAAAACCAGTCACAAATCAACTTCGAATGGTCACTAAACGAACTGTAGTAAGTTGAGGATTACCTGTACAATGCTGTCTTGAGTTATAGCTCTGTTCTCTGTTGGTGTGATGACGCAGGGTGGGATACAAAACAAACACAGTCACAGAAAACAGGTGAAGCCCCTTTTATTCCTCCACTTTGCTTCCAAGCTCTGAATATCTTTGACGGAAGACAAAAAACACTCCCACACAAACAGTTGCAGGAAGAAGGAAAAGGGCAACACAAACCAGGCAAGATAAGGGCTGGAGGATGTCCACAGATAACACACACTGGGAAGGACGCCAAACTCAGAGACAACCATAAACTAGAGATACTTACATGCTTTTTTTCCAGCATTCACCCATACGCATGTCCATCCTCTTATCCAGTTGTCACAGCTGCAGCCCATGAAGAGGATCAAGGCCCTCTCCTCCCGACTAGACCAGTCTCTCCCTTATCCTCTCCTCCCTGCGTGCCCTAGGATGGAGAGGGGATGGTCTGGGCCCTCCTCTTACTGCTCAGCCGGCCTCTGCCCTTCCCCAGCCTCCTCCACCATCACTGGAGCCACCCTTCCACTCCGTGTCGGCTGTTCCTCCTCTACCTCAGAGTCAGTCTTCACCAGGGGCATGACAGTTGGCCTTGCATTTCAGTCTGGGTTTTTTTCAGTCCTTGTTTCCCCATGTATCAGGGAAATAATCAGGTACGGAAGCAATTGGTTCTTTTGGATCCAGAGGCAATAAGCACACCAGTAAATAAAGAGATTTTAAGCTGTATTTAAGCTTAAAAGAAACAGATCGAAAGGCATAATATAGAAAGCATACATACCAACCAAAATAATACTCAAATCTCTGGGATAAACTGTTAGATAAATCTGTTGGATAACCATTTGTCTGAAGTGGTGTAGAATTTCCTATTTAAGCAAGTGGTTGGACTAGAAGACCTCCAGGGTCCCTTCTGACTCTGTTATTCTATATCTAAATCTCTCTCACAAACTGCCAGGAACTCCTTAATAAAAACAACGATTTTTTTAAATGGACAGCCAGTTTACATAGTACAGATAAGTCTTTGGCTTCCAACAGTTCATTTAGTGACTGCTCAAAGTTACAACAGCACTGGAAAAAGTGACTGATGACCTTTTTTTCACACCGTTGCACTCTCCCTGCGATCATGTGATCAAAATTCAGGCGTTTGGCAACCGATTCGTCTTTATGACGGCTGCAGTGTCCCAGGGCCATGGGGGATCCCTTTTTGCGACCTTCTGGCAAGCACAGTCAATAGGGAAGCCAGATTCACTTAACAACCATGTGGCTAACTTAACAACCGCAATGATTCACTTAGCAATGGTGGCAAGGAAGGTCATAAAATGGGGCAAAAACTCACTTAACAAATTTTTCACTGGGGAATAGACATTTGGGGCTCGATTGTGGTTGTACGTCAAGTACTACCTGTACTCATATGTCTTAAAAACTACCAGGAGCTCCTTAAGAACAAAAGTTATAGACCCCTCACATCCCGGACATAAAACTGTTTCAACTCCTTCCCTCAAAACAACGCTATAGGGCACTGCACACAAGAACAAATAGACACAAGGACAGTTTTTTCCCGAAAGCCATCACTCTGCTAAACAAATAATTCCCTCAGCCCTGTTCAACTATTACAAAGTCTGCACGACTATTACTGTTAATCTTCTCATCACTCCTTATCACCCACCCTCTCCCACTTGTGACTGTATGACTGTTACTTTGTCACTTGTATCCTAATGATTTATATTGACTGTCTCCTAGTATGATTTGATTGCTTATTGTACCCTATGACTATCATTAGGTGTTATACCTTATGATTCCTGACTTTTGACGAATGTATCTTTTCTTTATGTATACTGAGAGTATTTACACCAAGACAAATTCTTTGTGTGTCCAATCACACTTGGCCAATAAAGTATTTTATTCTATTCTGTTCTATTCTGTTCTGTTCTATTCACCTAAATTGGATAAAAGTGACTTTTCTTTGGATACCACCACGTAAATCTTTCTGGCCAATCGCAACAGGGACATTTAAATTGACTTAAAGATTGCCACATGTACCTTTGCATATTTTGTATATATCTACATGTGCATATTTGAAAATGCTGAACTTGAGTTTGACACTCCTGCATTACAGGCCATCTCAACTTATAACGATGTGTTTACTGACCGTTTGAAGTTTCACCAACACTGAAAAAAGTGACTCGTGACCAGTTTTCACAGTTATGACCATTGCAGTGTCTCTGTAGTCACATGATCAGCATTTGGGCACTTGGTAATTCTGTGCATTTCTAACCGTTGCGCTGTACTGAGGTGGTGGGGTCCCCAGTTAACCTTCCCATCCAGCTCCCGACAACGGGAAATGCCATTTGATGAAGGATGACATGATTCACTTAACAGTTGCAGTGATTTCCTTAACAATTGCCCTGTTTAGCAACATGAGCTTTGGGGTCAGTTATGGTTGTACGTTGAGTTCTAGCTGTAGTGGTTCATACACCGTGATAAGCTGCACATCATGTCTGCTAACTACAATGCCTGTTTGGCCAACAGAGAGCAAACAAGTGGTTATTCTTGCTTACTATGAAAACTCAGCCAGCAATGCCTTTGTCTTTAGTACAATTCATAGATACCATGTCTTTGTGTATGTGCAGAGCTTTGGGATACAATTACTGGGGGATTAGTTGCAGATTAGTGGGAGAAAAAAGTGCCCTCTACTGCACAGAATAGATTATAACAGGTGGAAGGGAGGTGGACTTGTATCTCTGCAACTGGAAGGGTTGGAAGGAGATTCAGAAGAGGCCAAAGGAAGCAGGACATCTTTACACAGAACATAATTCACCTAGTGGCAACCATTACAAGACTTGATGGCGGCCATTGAATTGGATCTCTTTGAAAAAGACCCTGGATAAATTCATGAACAATGAGGCTATCAAGGGCCTACAACACAGCAATATTTCTCAACTTTGGCAATTTTAAGACATAGGGGATTTCAACTCTCAGCATTCCATAGCTGGTTGGGGAATTAACAGAATAACAGAGTTGGAAGGGACCTTGGATGTCTTCTAGTCCAACCCCCTGCCCAAGATGGAGACTCTATATCGGTGATGGCGAACCTATGGCAGGTGTGCCACAGGTGGCACGCAGAGCCATTTGTGCTAGCACTTGAGCCGCAGGCAAACTTAACCTCACTGTGCATGCGCGCAGCTCACAGCTGATTTTCGGCTGGTTTGAGGCTGCTTTTTCGGCCTCGCAGAGGCTTGAAAAAAGCCTCTGCAGGCTTTGCAGGTCGAATAGGCCCGTTTTGTCACTTCCTGTAATACCAGAAGTGACGAAATGGGCCTATTATTCGGACTGCAAAGCCTGCGGAGGCCTTTTTTCAAGCCTCTGAGAGGCTGAAAAAGGCCTCAAACCGGCCGAAAATCAGCTGTGAGGCACAGTGCAGGTAAGGGGGAGGCGTGGGGGGATTGCGCGCGCATGCGCAGGGAGTGTAGGGGAGCACACATTTCAGACAAATGACGGTCCAGTCTCTTTTTGAAAGCCTCCAGTGATGGAGCACCTACAACTTCTGAAGGCAAGCTGTTCCACTGGTTAATCGTTCTCACTGTGAGGAAATTTCTCCTTAGTTCTAGGTTGCTTTTCTCCTTAGTTTCCATTCATTGCTTCTTGTCTTCAGTTGCTTTGGAGAATAGATTGCCCCCTCTTCTTTGTGGCAGTCCTTCAAATATTGGAACACTGCTATCATGTCCCCTTCTTTTATCTACACATACCCCAGTTCCTTTTATCTACACATACCCCAGTTCCTTTTATCTACACATACCCCAGTTCCTGCAACCGTGCTTCGTATGTTTTAGCCTCCAGCTCCCTAATCATCTCCGTTGCTCTTCTCTGCTCATTTTTTTCCCCAGAGTCTCAACATCTTTTTTATATTGTGGTGATCAAAACTGGATGCAGTATTCCAAGTGGGGTCTTACCAAGGTATAAAGTGGTACTAACTTGTTTTTCATTTCTCCTGTCTTCTCACCCTCTCACAGATTCGCAGCAAAGCTCATTGCGGGAGTGCTGGATTTCAAGGCAAAGATTGACCGGTGAGTAGGTTCCTTTGGATCTACTGGTCCAGTAGAGGAGCTATCCATGCAGATTGAAGCCCACTGGGCCACTGATGGGATTCAATTTTTTTTTACTACCGGTTCTGTGCGGGTGGCTTGGTGGGCATGGCAGGGGAAGGATACTGTAAAATCTCCAGTCAGAGGTGGGATTTGCCGGTTCTCTGAACTACTCAAAATTTCCGCTACCAGTTCTCCAGAACTGATCAGAACCTGCTGAATACCCACCTCTGCACTGGGCCAATCTGCAGGATAAATACTATCTCCAATGGAAGTTTGGAAGAAATGGGTTGTGATGGCGCCACGGTGGTGCAGTGGTTAGAAGGCAGCACTGCAGGCTAATTCTGCTGATTGCCAGGAGTTCAATCCTGACCGGCTCAAGGTTGACTCAGCCTTACATCCTTCTGAGGTTGGTAAAACGAGGAGCCAGATTGTTGGGGGCAATAGGCTGACTCTGTAAACCACTTAGAGAGAGGGCTGTAAAGCAGTATATAGCGGTATGTAAATCTATGTGCTATTGCTGGTGCCATTTTTTCCTGGGAAGAACATGGGGCCTTCCTTGGGTCAAAAGTGGCCAATGGCTCCAGGTGTGCCTGTGGTTCCCAGGGACAAGGAGACTTTGGGTGTCGCTGCTCCTGTGTGAAAACAGGACAGACTGGGAAGAGGGGGGCAGCTGGCCAAGTCAGAAAGGTATAGTTCCCTTTTTCCCCCTATACTCCCAAATGGGAGGTTGGGGGGGTTCTTGTCTTCCCCAAACTCTTTACCTTTCGGCTTACCTGCGCAAGTGGAGAATCAGTCGAAGGCTTCCAGACCGGATCTGTTTCTCCTTCTCCTATGACTTCACAGAGGGCCAGAGTTTGCCACAATGAAGTTCAACCCCAGGGTAACCATCAAGCAAAATGAACCTTGTGCTTTGGGTCCCAAGGACAAGAAGGGTGCCATAGAATTATCCCCTTTACCCAGCTATCACACACTTAATTTCTTTCCTGGCCACACTGCCATTGGAGGCAATTGTTTTGGAAGCGGCCTTCAAACTTTAACCTGCCTTGTTCAAAAAAAGGTCTTCTTTGGCACCGTGAAAGTTTGGTTCGGTTGGTTTTGGCAATGTCACTTTGGTTTTTGTCCGGTGGCATGCCAAGTTTTGCTTCTGTTGAAGGGAATCACGTTTGGGCTGTGCTTGAAGGCATCAGTTAGTGAAGGTGCTAGACTAGAAAAGCTAGTTGAGGAACTCTGAGGGTTGAAGTCCACAAGTCTTAAAGTTACCAAGGTTGGAGACCCCTGTTCTGGTCCAAGCCCTTGCTCAGGCAGGAGACACTAGGCCAGGCCTGTCAAACTGGCATCCCGTGGGCCAGATATAACCCACGTAGGCCTCATGCCCATCCTGGCTCCGCTAAGGCAAAAAAACCATCCCGATACGACCCGCGATGCCATCGGGTTTGACACCCTTGCTCTATACCATTTCAGACAAGTGGTTGTCCAGTCTCTTCTTAAAAACCTCCAGTGTTGGATCACCTGCAACCTCCCGAGGCAAGTTGTTCCACTGATTAATTGCTCTCACCGTTAGGACATTTCTCCTTAGTTCTAGATTGCTTCTCTCCTCCATTAGTTTCCATCTGTGGCTTCTTGGCCTCAGGTGCTTTGGAGAATAGCTTGACCCCCTCTTCTTTCTGGCAACCCCTTAGATATTGGAACCCTACTATCGTGTTATCCCGAGTCCTTCTTTTTCAATAAACTACTAGACCCGCGATGGCGAACCTATGGCACGCGTGCCACAGATGGCACGCAGAGCCATTTGTGCCGGCACACGAGCTGCAGGCAAACTTACCTCACTGCGCATGCGCGTGCCTCACAGCTGATTTTCAGCTGATTTGAAGCCTTTTTCGGCCTCCTAGAGGCTTGAGGGAAGGCTTCTGCAGGCTTTGCAGGCCAAAAACTAGCCCCGTTTTGTCACTTCCTGTTTTTCTGACAATACCGGAAGTGACAAAACGGGGCTAGTTTTCGGCCTGCAAAGCCTGCAGAAGCCTTCCCTCAAGCCTCTGGGAGGCCGAAAAAGGCCTCAAACCCACCGAAAATCAGCTGTGAGGTGTAGTGCAGGTAAGGGGGCGGTGTGTGTGTGTTATTTGGGTGGGTGGGGATTACACATGCATGCGGGGGGGCATGCATTGGTTTGAGTGCTGGCACGCGAGCGTGCCAGCGTGCGCACAATTTTTGGCACAGGAGCCCAAAAAGGTTAGCCACCGCTGTACTAGACAGACCCAGTTCCTGCAACCGTTCTTCGTATGTTTTAACCTCCAGTCCCCTAATCCTCTTTGTTGCTCTTCTCTGCAATTCTTAGCAGCCTTTATGTAGACTTTGGGATGCTCCGTCCTTCCTAGCCAACCAAAGGGGGTGGGGGGAGAATTGAATTCTGAGGCCTACCTTCAGATCCTGGATGAAAAGTGGGACAAAGGACTATCAGAAATTCATACGCAAGGATGCCCACGGCTTTGAAAGAACGCTGATTTGGTTCCTTTTTTCTTTCCATCTCCACGGCAGCCAGACCCTGCTAGTTGAGTATTCCCACGGTCACCCGCTCAGCATGGACTGCTATTCCCGCCTGTTTGCCTCTTGCCGACTCCCTGGACGAAAACATGACTCTATTTTGCTGCCTCCACCTGGACGGAAACCCCCAAATTACATTACTGTTGTTCGCAACTTCCAGGTAAAATGCCTTCATGTTGGCCCAACCATTGTTCCCTGGATCTGTTGGGATCAGTTCTTTGGGCCTCAGTATAAGACCCCATGCTTATTTGCTGCTGTATAAGAAAAGAGAAAAAAAAATACTATTTTAATATCTTAAAAGTTTAGTGTTGACACGTAATTGGAGACATCCAGATTCTAGTCTCCCTTCAATCACGGAAATCTCCTGGATGACTTTGGATCAGTCATGTGGCAGCTTAATCCTCTTCATCCACTGTACCCCATAGAATTGTTTTTGGATAATACGGAGAGCGGTTTGGATGCCCACTTAAGCTCCCAAACGAAGAGTGGTATATAAATCTAATGCGTCAGTAAGGTACATCATAGTTATAGGATTGGTCCAGGATTGGTAAAGCTCCTGTGAGTCCCTCCTCTCCTTTCAGAAATCGCTATGGTAGGTGATCTCCAAATTTGGTAACTAAAACCTGTGGAATTCCCAGAATTCAGACTTGAGAATTCTGGGAGTTGAAGTCCACAAGTCTTAAAGTGTGGACTTCTCACTTAAAGATGCGTGGACGTCAATTCCCAGAATTCCCATGCTGGCTGGGGAATTCTGGAAGTTGGAGTCCACAACTCTTAAAGTTGCCAAGATTGGAAGTCACTGCCTTGGAGGAAAGGTTACAGTTAGTCCTCGAGTTAAAGCTGAAATAGAGACTGGAAAATTCATTAAGTGATGAAGTCATTAAGTCAGGCATCACATGGCAGCACCCAACTTTATGACCTGTTTGCCATGGTGGTTAACTGATATACCACGTGACCATGACTTAATGATCTTCCCTGCCTGCTTTCCCGTTGACTTTAGTTGTCGGAAGCCAGCTGGGAAAATTGCAAATGGCGATCACATAGGACATTGTGACTTCTATAAATGTACAACAGTTGCCAAGCAACCAAATCATAATTATATGACTGCGGGGATGACGTGACAGTTATAAACATAACGACTGGTCATAAGTTGGTTTTCTTCAGTTGCTAAATGAATGGTCATAACTTGAAGACTACCTTACAGCAGCACTCAGGGCCTTTGGATGATAGAGGATCATTCTAGGTTCTTAAGAGTTCCTGGAAGGGTGTGAGCCCCAAAATATTTGGGGACTTGATCAATGGAACCAGAAGTAAACAGCTCCTTGGTGTGATGGGGTAACCCTCATTTCTCTGTCTCTTGTGTTCTCTTGTCTCTTTCTCAGTTCTTCCGGCTTGAAGTATACAACAGTGATGGGACACCCCTGACCATTGACCAGATCTACCTGCAGCTCCTAAAAATCCGCTCTTTTTCTTGGAAGTTGAATAAAGAGCCCTTGGGAGTCCTCACCAGTGACCACCGACATACCTGGGGAGAGGCCTTCACCAGTCTCATGAAAGGTGGGCAAGCCAGGTTTTGGGAGGTAGAAAGTATGGGCCTTCGATCATGAATCCTCTATTCCATGCAGAAATCCAGATTAAAGGATCCATGTTAGAGGGCTCTTCGTTCTCCATTTTGAGTGAAGGGAGTGCCTTGAGTGCCTCTCAAGGTCAACTGTCAATCTGCTCCTAATTTTATTTTCTTGCCATTCCCCAGTGACTGGATCCAGATGTAAACAAATGGCTTCTTTTAAACACAGATAACAGATAATCAGAGTTGGAAGGGACTTTATAGGTCATCTAGTCCAACCCCCTGCCCAAGCAGGAGACCCTACAGCATTTCTGACAAATGGCAGTCCAATCTCTTCTTGAAAGTCTCAAGTGATGAAGCTCCCACAACTTCCGAGGGCAACTTCTGTTCCATTGGTTGATTGTTCTCACTGTCAGAAAGTTTCTCCTTATTTCCAGGTTAAATCTCTCCTTGTTCAGTTTCCATCCATTATTCCTTGTCTGGCCTTCGGGCGCTTTAGAAAATAGCTTGACCCCTTCCTCTCTGTGGCAGCCCCTCAAATATTGGAAGACTGCTATCATGTCTCCCCTGGTCTCACCTGGTCCTTCTCTTCACTAGACTAGCCATGCCCAGTTCCTGTAAGTTTTAGTCTCCAGTCCCCTAATCATCTTGGTTGCACTTCTTTGCACTTTTTCTAGAGTCTCAATATCTTTTTTATAGTGTGGTGACCAAAACTGGATGCAGTACTCTAGGTGTGATCTTACTAAGGCTTTATAGAGTGGTATTAGTACCTCACTTGATCTCGATTGTATCCCTCTGTTAATGCAATGTAGGATTGCACACTGCTGGCTCCTATTTAGCTGGTTGTCCACTAAGACTCCAAGATCCCTCTCACAGTTAGTGCTGTTGAGCCTGGTTTCACCCTCTCTATATGTGTACTTTTGTTTTTCCTTGCCTAAGTGTAGGACTTTACTTTTCTCTACATTGAATTTCATTTTGTTAGATACGGCCCAGTGTTCTACTCTGTCAAGATCCATCTGGATCTTGAGCCTATTTTCTTGGGTGTTGCACATCAAATAAGTTTTAGTCTCCAGTCCCCTAATCATCTTGGTCGCTCTTCTTTATACTTTTTCTAGAGCCTCAAGGGTTGCATTTAAGCACCTACTGTACAACCTTTTCTAACCCGGTACTCTCAAAATCAGTTTTTCTCAATCTTGGCTACTTTAGGATGCGTAGACATCAGCTCCCAGAATACCCCAGTTCCCCATTGGAATTTTTTGCAGTTTTTTTTTCAGTGAGGCGGGGTTTCTAAAAAATATGTATTTTTATACCAAGAATGCAAACTTGCTGTTCTTTTTGCAATTGTACAACTTTTAGCTTGATATATCCACATTTGATCATACACCCCACCGAAGTCTCTTGTAACTCAAATGCTGTTAACTTTATCTTCTCAAAATTACACCTTGTGCCAAAATTAAAGTTTTTTTTCTGCAGGAATATTATCTAGCTAAGCAAAAAATAATAATCTGTGCAATCCATAAACTAACATCAGAAAGCAGTCATCTTGAGTTACAAAAATGTTTAAGCGAGTTTCGTCAAGCCTTGATTTGATTTTACATCAGCCACCAACTTGCTTCTTGGTCTCTGATATGATCCTCTGTTTCTCATGTGAATGCACTCTGCTTGCTGCTCTGTGACCTGTTTCACACATCTCTCTTGATTGGGCATGACAAGGTCACTGGTATTTGCATTGTTTCCTCAATGAACTTCTTTGTTTCCGCTGTAGTCAGTTTGCACGTCAAACGTGGCTCATATACATCTTCAGACCAGTCAATCAGGATTAAACATTTGATGGGAGGGTACAGTGTAGTCATATTTATCTACCGTATTTATCGGCGTATAACACGCACTTTTT